AAGAAGACTCACTCACACTACTCAGCCGGCCATGGATGTATACGAGGCTACTCAAACAGTGATGTCGAGGATCCAAGCTCTGGATCCGGAGAACGCCTCCAAAATCATGGGCTACATACTGATTCAGGATCAAGGCCACAAGGAGATGATACGGCTGGCCTTCAGCCCGGACCCGCTTCTCCTCTCTTACATCGCCCAGGCCAAAGCCCGTTTGGGCCTCCCTTCAAATTGCCGCTCTTCAAATCCTCCTTCCCCTTTCTCCAACCCCAGCACCCCTTTTCCCGAGAATTCGCCGCGGGTCGTGGTTCCGAACAGCGCCGGGTTCCTCCCGAGCAACCCGTACGGCGCCGGCGTTCTGGATAATGACTTGGGCGACGAGTACCAGTCCCCGTTTCTCGATAACCCTGCCGCGTGGGACCCATTGATTAGCCCTGGCGGGATGAGCGATTCCATGGTCTTCCCGAACGGCGAGGAAGCCGGCGGCGTTTCGTCTTCCCCTCAGCCGCACCCGTTCCACAAGAGGAGTTATTCGGTCAACGACGCCGCATTTTTGTCAACGCGCGGTGAGGGGTGTTTGTGGAGGCCTTGCATGTACTGCGCGAGGGGTTTCTGCAAGGATGGCGGTGGCTGTAAGTTCGGGCACGGCGAGTTGTGTGGTGGGGTTGACCCGGTTGATCTCGGGTCTCCAGGGAGGAGTTTTTACGGGTTGGACGAGTTACTGAGGATGAAAGCCCTTCAGCAGCAGAGGTTTGCGTTCATGGCCTCTGGGGGTCGCCGTCCTTTTGCTTACAACAAATGCATGGACGCTGTATATGAGAACCCGAGGTAAAATTTTCTTGGGGAAAAATTAACATCGCAAAGTTGGAATGTCTTTGAATTTATGAATAAAGCCCTGACCTTTTTTTGTTAAATGAAACTCTGTTTTTGCTTGTCAGACTCGGTTTCCAGTGACATTGACTGTGTTTTTTAATTATATTTTTGGTTGAGTTCTCCATTTGTTTGTCATTATTGGGTAAAGATCATAATTTTTTATTTTATCCTTATTAGTCTAATTGTAATTTTATGAAGATCTTCATTGTGCCCTTCTTTAAATTCGATTTTGCTGGAATATATGATAATGTTTTCTTTTATTTCGTGAAAAAATGCATAATTACTTGTGCCAAGTTAGGAGTGGGAAATTCAGCTATTGCACAGCATCTATTGATTCTTGGTTGGTACTGCTGATTTTCGATCTTTTATTTGCAGGGTTGTTCTTATATGTTTCAATTGCATATGCTGCTTTTTGTAGAATTTCCTAATTCAATGGTTTCTTATCCTGATAGGAGTGACTTCTTTGGATTGAGTGCTAGTGCCAATTCGAGCGCCCGGCAAATTTATTTAACATTTCCAGCTGACAGTACATTCAAGGAAGATGATGTTTCTAATTACTTTAGGTGGGTAAATGAAATTGAACCATAGCTTCCGATTCTTGCAAAGTTCTGTAGAATGACAACTGATTATACATTTCTCTATTACCATGATTTGTTAGCCTGTTTGGACCAGTGCAAGATGTTAGAATTCCATATCAGCAGAAAAGAATGTTTGGGTTTGTGGCATTTGTGTACCCTGACACTGTTAAGCTCATTTTGGCCAAAGGGAACCCTCATTTTGTGTGTGATTCACGCGTGCTCGTCAAGCCATACAAGGAAAAAGGCAAATATAAAGACAAGTACAATTTTTCACCATCTTTAGTCTTTATTCTCCATGATGATGATCTTTAAGATTTAGCTGAACTTCCATTTACTTTATTGTTATTGCTATTTTAATCTGAAATTATTTGTAGGAAACAACAGCAGCAACATTGCTTAAGCCCATCCGGACTTGACATTGGCGAAAACTTTGATAATACCCCCTTTGGTAATCTAGCTCACATGATTGGCTGTTTTATTGTTGGTGAATTAATTGGAGTTTACTCTCTAATTTTCCTTTTACATTTTTTTTTTCTGCATGCAGGTCCAAGAATGTTGTTGAGCCCACGAGAGATGATGCTGAGGAGAAAAATGGAGCAGGAAGCAGAAATGCAGCAAGCCATTGAACTCCAAGGTCGAAGGATGATGAATTTACAATTAATGGACCCAAATAATGAGAACCATTTCCATCCTCTACAGAGATTCCCAGCTGGTATCCCATATTCCTTCCCAAGACACTGTCAGTTGTTGATGAATCATCATCTCACAAATTCCTCTGCTTCCATCAGCCGAGAAAATTCAGAAGGTTCACAAACTTGATTGTGTGCTGCGCCTTCTTAAATTCTACATAAGAGGAAGATAAAATTATTTTACTGTTATTATCACATATATGTAAATTTAATTATCCTTGAATTGATATTTGCAGAATTTGATGGTGGCAAAGAAACCGCCTTTGAATCTGATGATAAGAATCTTCTGGAAGCTGGAGACGAGGAGTCTTCTTCTGACAACACTATTAATGGTGATGAAGATAAGCTGAATCGGGGGAACTCTGATGATTCTGGTTTTCATGAAAGGTATGAAGGGTTTTTTCATTCAGAAAAAATGCTGCAGACTTATAAACTTTGTTGCTGTTATTGTGAGATATACTATTGGGGTATTTATCATAAATTCTATTACTTAATGTCTTAATCTGCATATCTGTACTGATTTTTCCTCTTGTTTTTTGTGCTTTTGTGCATAGTGTGGACTGCAGCTTGGAGCATGCCCTCCCAGACAATCTATTTAATTCGCCTACGAAATCTGGTACTGAAAATTGCTCGTGTGTTTTCTCACAGAATTTGCCTGAAGCCAATGACAGTGAACAAGATCTGCTCTCGGGCAGCTCACCTCTCACCATAGCTTCTCTCAATTCATGTTACCTTCAAATGCCTAGGTATTGTTTTGCCGTTTAGATTACCTATCATATGCCTATCGACTTTACTCCATTCAATTAAATTGTGGTTTTATTTTTTTTTTAATTGAATATCGTCTTCAGGTTTTCTTCAGGACAAGAAGTTGAAATGTAAGATGGTGTAGAGGTTTTCATGGCTAGGAAGCAGAAATTTTTTGACTTATTTGCTTTGGTAAGGAGCTCTGTTCTTGGAAGTGTAAAGTTTGTTATAGTTACAAAAACCAAAACCACCCTTGAGATTCTTTGATTACAAAAAGACTACAAAATTTTCTTTCTTTCAATAGTTTTACGTCGAATTTATTTAATCTCTATGAGAAATTTCCTTGGCTTCTTTGTGCGTACCACAAACCTCGGGCAGTTTTATATAAGACTTCCCCACAAAGAAACCATATTTTTGTATTTTAGGTTATGAATAAGCGATTTCGGATTCAATTTTTGATCATGTACCTTGCCCTTTCTTTGGTGGCCAATGCAGAAAGTTTTGTGTATCTTATACAAGGAAACGATGTTCGGTCGAAAGTCAGACCTAAGGGCCGGCGACAAGGAGAAAGATGGATAGATGTAATCCATACATTATTGTCATAATTGAACACCATACTATACATAATGCATGGGATTATAGCCTTGGACATATGAACTAATTTGAGTTGTGTGCTGTGGACCACACACAATGTCACTAGTATCATAAAAACATTGACGGTTAGCTTGATTAAACTCCTTACTACCATAGTGTGGAAATTTTATATTTTCTTCCCATTTCTTTGGTGCCCTTTTTATTAGTTTTCATTCCTTACAGAAATCATTTTGATTGTAATGTAATAATAATAATAATAATAATAATAAAAAAAAAAAAAAACCATGCGCATAAATTAGCAGAAAAGCTGCTGCGTTTTCCACTAATAGATAAATAGGGATTTTGTGGGAAAAAAATAAATAAATAAATAGGGATTTATAAAAATTTAACTAACACGCTTGTGCAGAAACCCAAGTGGGTACAAGGTGTGAATTGATTGGTAAAATCTTATGTTAGTAAAAATCTAAGCAGATAGTAAAATATATCTCATTTAAAAGATTCATTATTATCGTATCGCAAAATAAGTCGGACTGAATAGAAACATCACAAATCTTGAACGATTTTTTTACTTAGAACCATAAATCACAATATTTAACACAAATAGTTTATGACATCTATGTAAGTAGTCAATTACATAAATTATTTATCAGTTTTTTTCTCATTCTCTAATCTATAGAATTCGGCTAATTTCATTTTTTCCACCCTATCAATATGCCACTCGTGTAGTGTTTTTCTTTAAGTCGGTTGCCGAAAAAATAAGTCATACTTAAAATTAAGGGTTGTTCGTATATTTTAAAGAAAATTCGAAGCCAAGTACCAAAATGTGTTGGAAATAAATTTCCGAATAGGTAAATATTTTTTTTGTCACCTTTTATTTATTGATATCGAATTCATGTGTTAAAATTGTTTAAATTATTAGTTTGTGGTGATGATGATTCGCCACCAAATCAAACTAAAAACGTTGTCTAAAAGTAAATATTCAATAATTTATAATAATTTATTTAAAAAAATGTATCATCCCGTGAATCACACGGGCCACGACTAGTTTAACTAACACGCTTGTGCAGAAACCCAAGTGGGTAAAAGGTGTGAATTGAAATAGCTGCCTGCACATCTTTTTAGAATGCGTCGTCAGACATCATTGA